TAATATGGAGGCAGGAGTGATGGGAGGAGTCAGGACGGACCTGTTTGCGTAATAGAGCTGTCTGGGTTTTGGGGATCCCATGGAACATTGAAAGTAATCTTTGAACGTCTGAAGGTATATACTCCAAGGACCTGGCGCCACCTCACCAGGTCAGATGAGCGCACAGGTCTCCAAATAGTAGTGTGCCATGTATATTCTGCTCATACAGTCACTAGCAGCTTATAGATAAGTCAAATAAAGTTACCTTTGTTTGTAAGTGTGTCATGGAGTCTGTCCGCTATCAGCTCTGGTTCAAAATTTTTCAGGGGCTTAATCGTGCCCAAAGTTCCCCAAACACTTGTCTATAGGCAGATCAGAAACAACACAGGTCAGCTTACAACTGATAACACTGGATATTTAAAAAAAAAAAAAACTTGTCGAAGTCGCTCAAATCCTTATACTTGCCCATTTTTTCTGCTTCCAACACATCACGGACAAAATGTTCACTTGCTACCTAATATATCCCACCCACTTCCAGGTGCCATTGTAACCAGATAGTCAATGTTATTCGCTTCACCTCTTAGTGGTCACAATGTTATGGCTGATCAGTGTATATAAATGAAAGCTTGTGTCCAGAATTCGGCTTCAAACTGGCCATACACTTTACAACCTCTGTACAATCCTCTTTAGATATTACAAAACTTTGAAATATAATGACAAACCTCAACAACCCATTCAACTGGTATCCAATCAGGCAGCCCCTTGCCATACATATTAGATGGATGATCTATACAGTAGATTGTACAATACCTCTTAGTTTGAGGACAACTCTAAATTTGTCGTTCCCCCTCATGTTATTTCTCGGTGACAACGGTCCCTAGTGCAAATAGCGGGGTGGATCTCCCCATTGGGGACACAGACTCAAATAAAAACTTCACAGGCCATCTAATGCCCCCCCAATCTACCCAAAACTAACATAAAAGGGTTCTAGAGATACACTTTAATGGTAACCCTAATAGAACTGGCAGAAATAGTTTTAAGTTATCGTAGATGTGAACTGCTGTGGGCCCCAAAAATGTTTTTTTTTTTTTTTTTAGACGAGTCTTATTTGCAACCCATTTCTCTATATAACAGACAATGACCAGTAAACAGTTGAGTATTGTATATGACCCCAGACGACTTAAGACCAAGTGTATCCCATTGCACCCCTTACCCAAAAAACAGGGTGGGTACGGCAGTGACAGCAGATGCCTCAGCAGATCATATAAATTTCAGTAGAAAGTCACTCGGACTCCAAAGCGATGCCAAGTCAATCTCTTTTATTGACTATGGTAGTGTAACATCTACATCTATGGTAGTGTAACATTGTCACTACCATAGTCAATAAAAGAGATTGACTTGGCATCGCTTTGGAGTGTGAGTGACTTTCTACTGAAAATTATATATGACCCCATCTTCTGTAAATAAAGTACATGGGGTCATACCCAATACTCAATGGTTTACTGGTCATTTACATATACTGGCTCTGCTGCCCACTATCCCAGTGAGTGGGTGCACATGTTTCTACAATGATACTTGTGTCAGTATATCAGTGGAATAGTAGCTTTGTGTTCTGTCGGAATGCTGTGCAGCTTTGTCTTAGACAACAGACTATCTGTAGGTAAAAGAGAACTCATTGTAGACAGGATGCCAGGGCAGAGATAGGTGTTGTTTGGAAACAAAATTAAGGCTCCATTCACACACCGCGCTAAACATAAATAACAATGCATTGCAATATGCATTGTTCAGACTATTGCGGCGGCCGCACGGTACAAAACTGCACGTCCCGCAAAATTCCAAACGTCCAAGCGTGATTTTATGGGCAAATTCCACCCGTTCCAGCTACAGTAATAGCCGTAAACCTGAGGAATCCATGTGTATGTTAAGGTTTGCACAATTTCGTTCTGCGCGAAAAAGCACGTGAAAAAACGCTACCGCTATGCGTGAATGGAGCCTGAATGTCATTTCAGTGATTGCAGTATTTCGTTTTCACATTGTATATCATATTTGCTGCTTTGCAGCTCATTAACACTGAGCTTCCTGACGCAGTCGGACAGGCAGACAGAGTGGCCAGGAATGCGCAGTGACCAAGACTACACAATGACCAAGAGTACACAGTGACCAAGACTACACAGTGACCAAAAGTAAACAATGGCCAAGACTAAGCAATGACCAGGACTACATAGTGACCAAGAGCACACAGTAAACAAGACTACTCCGTCACCAGGACTACACAGTGACCAGGACTACACAATGGCCAATACTACACACAGTGACTAAGACTACACAGTGATTAAGACTACACAATGGCCAAGACTACACAGTGCCCAAAACTACACAATGACCCAGACTACGCAGTGACCAAGGCTACACAGTGACCAGACTACACAATGACCAAGATTACTCAGTGACCAGGACTGCTCAGTAACCAGGACTACACGGTGACCAAGACTACGTTGTGACCAAGACTACGTTGTGACCAAGACTACTCAGCAACCAGGACTACTCAGCAACCAGGACTACGCTGTGACCAAAACTACACAATGACCAAAACTACTCAGTCACCAAGACTACTCAGTGACCAGAACTATGCAGTGAACAAGACTAGTCAATAACCATGACCAGGACTATACAATGATCAAGATTACTCAGTGATGCTCAGCCTCACTGACCAGCGCTCTCAGTCGCTGTGCCCGTCCCAGTAGCTTAGTATATCAGCAAAACTACAAACCCTCTGGCAGATACACTGCTCCATTTTATATCTTACAACTCTGGGTTTAGCTGTTTGCCTGGACTCTGGAGTTCAGCTTTAATTAGTACAGTGACACAGAACTGTGCTGAAAGTTATTTATATAAAACATGAAAAGTGAGTCTTGCATGGATGCTATTTACATACGTTACAGAGCTGTCATTTATCATTAACCACAACATGATATCACACCTTACAGGGAAACTGCAGTGTGTGTTCCGGGTGTACACATTCTGAGCACTTTCTCTAACATTTATCTGAATAGGATTCTCATATTAGTGGTCACATTTTCATTATTTTATTTTAGATACAAAGGTAAATATTCTCTATTGTGTTTTCTTATCAGACACTAATTCATTATTCCTACCGGCCGAAATTCAAGCTGTGGGTGGCCCTGTTGGCACCACCCCACTCAACCCAAGCCGATTTTTAAATCAACTTTTGTGGACCAGCTTACCGGGTGGATAGTTGTCAGCTGAACATGGACTGCATTCGGTCACTGGACACCAGATGTCAGAATGCAATAACCGGCAGAACAATTACTCCATCCATGCTATGTAGCATGGATGGGGGAATCTAGTGATCTTAAGGTAAACCTTGTGTGAATTAAGACCAGGTAGAAATGAAATCAACATTATTGTCAGTATTGGATAGAGTAAGGGAGAGTTATAACCTCATCTGTGTCCCATTGGGGAGATTTTCCTTCACTTCCTGTCCGATAGCAACAACAGGAAGTTTGAGGAAATCCCTCTCAAGTGAAGGAAGTCATTGGTGGTCACCAGAACTAGTGTCCCCAATGGAAGAGTCCCCATCTATGCCTGTCCTGGTTACAACACAAAATTTGGGAGTTTCATTCATTTACAGTGATAACGATCACCAGGATACATAGAGAGGGTATCTATGTATCCCGGTGATCTATTGGCTATTGGACAGGAAGTGAAGGAAAATCTCCCCAAAGGGACATAAATGGCAAAAAAAGCTTATAGCGGGGTATAATCCTCTTTTACTTTTTAAAAGGATTTCCCTTATTTCCTGTTGTGGCTATTGGGCAGGAAGTGGAAGGAAATCTCCCCAATGGGACATAGATGGCAGAAAAGCTTATAGCGGGGTATAATCCTCTTTTACTTTTTAAAAGGATTTCCCACATTTCTTGTTGTGGCTATCGGACAGGAAGTGAAGGGAAATTTCCCCAATGGGGCATAGATGACCAAAAAAAAGCTGATGGGGGATATAATCCTAAATTACTCTATCCAAAACTAAAAAAAGTTTGGCTAAAGTTCTACTTAAAGGAGAACTATGGGTTTAAGTCTTTTCGCCATATTTCTCCTTAGGGTAACGGGAGGACACAAACTAGCGTCCTCCCGTCACCCTAGGCTCAGTATACCGCGAGCTGTAGCTTGCGGTATACTGAGACGCCGCAGCTGAAGCGGATCCCGAAAATTGTACCGGGATCCGCCCAGCTGCGTGACTGACAGCTGGCTCTGCCTATCTAGAGGCAGAGCCAGCTGTACCCGCCCCCTCCCCCGTCCGTTCCGCCAGTCAGCGCTGGCGGATCGGAGCGGGGGAATCCAGCCCCTCTTCTGTCACAGCAGAGAGCCGTGACAAGTGAGCGAACGCCGGTATGTGTTCGCTCACCTCCCGATCTACTGAGCCGACCTGTAACAGTCTCATTGTCACAGGTCGGCTAGAACTATGAGGTGAGTGAAAAGCACTCACCTCATAGTTCTCCTTTAAGAACAATGTACCTCAATGGACCGATTAACGGAGCATGAGCCTTTCTTGCCTACACACCGGAGAATGGGTTTGTACACCGTGGCGCATTGCCATGCGTTGGCAGCTACAATGCATCGGGGTGCCAGTGATAATGACACAATGTACATAGTGCCATGCAGTCACAGGCAACTAAATTTCCGGCTTTTACCGTGCGTTACCACAGCAGGAAAGTGTTTAGTGATTTTGCAGCCTTGACATTTTGTGCACAGTTGCTCAAGGGAGTTCAAGAGAAAGAAGCATGAGGAAGAGCGCCAAGTAAAATGTGACCTAAAATTAAACTCAGTCCATTCATCAAATTTCTTAAAGCGGAACTCCGGCCACAAAGGTTTGAATTTATATTTACATAGCTTTGTTTTTTCTAAAGGAGATTGTGCAGAGATTGTATTAGCCGATTGCATAGCGTATGGCCAGTTTAGGATTACAGTGTATCTAAACCCAAGAACACAAATGTAATATATTGCAGCCTACCTCTCCTTAGATGTGGCGGCTGTCTTTGTTTTCTTCAGTTTTTCTTCCTTAATTTTCCGGCTAGTAACATACTTCCTATGCTAGGGTAACAACGCTCTCTCTTGTACTCTAGCCATGAAATAGTGTTGTCACACCTTGGTCCTTCTCGAGCTTGAATAAGAGGTATCACTCCTCGAAACGCGTTGCTCACTGCCTTTCCACACCACCACTACCCTCTTCCTATCAATGACCCGACTGATAGCTGACAACTCTCAGCCCACGGCACCCGCATACTACCCCAGCCTGCGCCGACAGTGACCGAGCAGCACGAGCCGCAGCCGCGGTCATAGCAGCTCTGCCTGCTTCTGACACCGCTGATTCTTTCCCACACCACTCAGCCCCTGGACTCACACACGGACTGAGTCCCCATTCCTGTGGTTGCCCTTTTTCCCCCCCTTTTCTTCCTCGCCCACAGCCTCCTCTCCCCGTGTGGATGCACATCCCCTGGCTCACCAGTTCCAGGTAGATACCACGGATGACCCGATCCTTTGCACCGGCCGTCCAGCCTCTGGTCCCGTGAAACGAAACGTAAGTCCTTTTTCTTTTTCCTCAGCCATCCTTCGTTTTTTTGCCCAGTGCACCCATTGTCACACGATTCTCCTGTCATTTTCCCTGGGTCTCCCGACCCGGTCAATTAGCCCACCTAGTGTTGCGCCCTTTTGGGTTTTTTGTTTCAAGTTTGCAGATACACAGGCACTCCTCCTGGGTTTCAGGGCTGCACACGATCTAGGGTCATACACTGTTCACCCCCTTATTATCATTACAAGAGCGCTGTTTGTACGTTTTGTGTTTTTGTCCTCCAGATGATGACATCCAATGAGAAAGTAAATCATAAAAACAAATGTAATTCATTATTGGCAAATTGAGGGGCATGACCGGTAGGTGGGCATTTACTCCACTTGGCCAACGTTCAACATCTAAAGGAGGCTTCTTGTATTAAAGGTTATTTCACAAATGTCACAATAAAGGAAAGATAAGACAAACTCACCTTATCTGCCAGGTGAAGGGAACTCAAGATCTCATCTGTCAAAGTCATATTTCCTTGCAGGTCTCTCTGGAATATAGAAGGAATAGGTGTGCGGTCACCGTGGGCTCGGTGGGGATACAATCAACGTGGGCTTGGTGGGTATGATCACCCTCAAAAGGTTGCAGAAACTCTGGATGTAATGTTCATTGAGAGTGAATAACTGGTTTTGGCTGTTCTTAAACAAGCAACCAACCCGTCCTATGGCAGGGAGGGGGGAGTGGACAATACTTTGCTCTCAGATGGAATGGTGTCAAGGAATGTGGAAGTAACTGAACGGCTCTGTGATGACACAGAGACATGATACGTAGGGTGACCAGTCCCACCACCCAACACAACACACTGGAATGTGATGACCTCCAACCATCAGACAGTCAAGTTATTCTATAAAAGTAAAACAGGGGAAGTCGGTGTTGCCCTCAGCAGCCAAGCGAAGATCAGATGTCACCTTCCTACTGCAGATTGGAAAGTGATAGGAAACATCTGATTGGTTGCTATGGACCACATTTCCACTTACCCTCGTGGACTCGTTGGTATAGTGAGCAACGGCTGCATTGTTGTTATAAAGTGTATGTCCACCCAAACTTTGAAATGGGGTTAGTAATTCACTAAGTCGCAGGCATACGCAGCCTTGGTACTCCAGCTGTGCTGAAACTACAAATCCAGCCATGCCTCTGCCTTCTGGGAGTGCTGCGTGTGGCTGTCAGAGTCTTGCAATGGATTTGTAGTTCCCCACCAGCTGGAGTGCTGAGGTTGGCCGCTTCTGCTCTAAGACCTTGTGCAAAGGGAGAGTAAAAGCAGGGGTTGATCCATGATTTTATCGCCCTGTGACCGCCCACCTACACCTAACATGGCTGCATAGGCTTGTACACATGCCGTAGCAAATATTTTACAGCATGTCATGTTTTGGCAGGTGGTGCCGCTTACCAAATGCAACTATTGCAGTCAATGGGACCATACCACAATGCAGATGTGGCGCAGTATTGCAACATCTCAGGAGGCTTAAGTCTTGTCTCCTGAACGTCTGTAAAGCGTATGCCAACCTCCCTCTGATAAGCCATATACCGTGGATTGCAGTAAAGTCTGCCACCTGTGTGCACCTACACAATCATAAAATACTCGGTGATCCTGCCAGTCCCATCATGAAGCAACCCCTTCTTGTTCATAGCTAATAGAAATAGAATAGAATAGGATAGAATACAAGAAAGCAGATCTGCCCTAGTGTGGTCAGTTTGTGTCTCTTCATATGATATGGGAGAATCGAGGCACCAAGGCTCACTCATTAGAGCTTCACAGCACAGGCCCACGACCCCGAGGGTGAGCTCAGTTGCCCACAACCGCTGCCACAGTCTAAAGGTTGATTATTGTAGGTCTCCTGCACACACACAGACTTATAGGGGCTCCCAGTTCACCCCACAGGGCTTCCCCAATACCATTCCCAGTACCAGGCGCAGTACTCACATTACTTCATAGAGGACACAAGGCGGACACTGGATATTTCAACCCTCGCTGTAGAGGCACACTCCACCATGGTACCAATCACCTGTTCTACTCTTCCGTCTCAATCCCTCTCTATCCCAGCACATAGCAGACACAAAGAGGTCTATTTATAAACAATTTGGCAGGCCCTTTGCCCTGTGAACATTAATTTGTGTGAATAATGACTAAAAAGATAAAACAATAAAAAAAAAATTCAAGTGGAGCGTATTGTGATGTAATAACACATGCTGGCCACTAGATGGAGCTTAGGCGCATAGAAGATAAGTATTATTACCTATGCTCCTCAGCTCCATCTAGTGGCCATAAATAAGCATTTATTTCCTATGCTCCTCGGCGCCATCTAGTGGCCATAATGTAGCATTATATCACACTACATTCCACCAGAAAAGAAAATATATTAGGAACATTCGGTTTTGTCATTATTTACCCAAAATTAACATTCACAGATATTCCCAGGGTGAATTCCTGCAAATTGCTTAGGAAAAGATCCCATGTTCAGCCAGGGTCGGATTTTAACAGCTTTACTTAATTTGTCAGCAAACATCAAAAAAATCTTCTCTTCAGAGAAAAGCATTTCCAGCATGCTGGCTCAAAGAAAGCTACAGTGAACTGGACACTGAATTTGTTATTCAGGTGCATTCAGTGACAAGGGTGCTCATTTAGTTTCTTAGAGAATGACAATTCTGTCCTGTCTATCCTGAGAAAGGTAAAGTTCCTGCCACCATGGGTACTCACAGTTGGTGCAGTCCCCAAACCCACTCCCGCTCCTTAGAAGGGGCAGCCATGTGCCTCCTCTCTCTCTTACCTTGTGATTGTATACATTATATATATTATATATATATTTCTGACCTGAGTGATTGCCAGAACTCAGTCCAACCCAACATTGCTACGCAGCAATTCACGAAGGTGGGCTGCAGCGAAAGGCTGGCACCTGACCCCACCCCCTACAAACTTCACTTCTAATTTAACTACATACTGATAAAAAGTTAAAGCTGAACTCCGGGATAACCAGATATTGTCTTCATACAAGAGTCGTGTGTATTCTTCCTTGCGGGCTTGTTCACACCATATCCGGATCATGTCCAGACCAGAACAGTTTGTTCCCGGACCAAAAAAGCATCTCAATGTATCCCAATGGTATTACTGGGCACACCGGTGCAGTCCATTCTGGACCCGACAACAACAAAAATACCGCTTGTCTCCTTTTCTCTGGTCCGGAATGCATGGAAACGCATCAAAAACGCATGCAAATGCACTGGAACACACTAGACTGCATCTGAAAGCCCATTTTAAGCTTAAAAAAACTGCACCGGAAGGTGGCAAAATCACGGCAAAAATGCACTACACTGCATTTACAGACCTGCTCCAGATCTGCTCCAGATCTGGCCCAGACAAGCCCTGAATCTCGGTGAGCTCGGTGTATTTCTTCCAGATCTGTGCAGTGATCCAGTGTGAGACTTTACTTCCTGTAATATAGACCGGTCACTGCTGCTCTGTCGCCTTGTACAGGGTGACTGGTCTTGTCTCCGCCCCCCTCCTGTAGTTTTCTATAGTGAGTGGTTTCTGCTGGGTTCTTTACACAGCTCTGCCCTCTGCACAGGCTGTGTACAGCGCAGTGATGATGTCACAGCTACTTTTACAAAGAAAAAACTGATTTTGCAAAGGTATTTGGGGCAACAAGGTAGATTTATTGCATTTGTGGCTATTGAGTTATATGTTTAATTCAAAGTTTCCATGTCCGGAGTTCAACTTAAATACATTTCTTCAAGGGTTAAAGACAAACCAACTGGGAAAAATATCAGCGGCGAGACTAATGTTTGGCAAACTAGAGGAACAAGTCATGGCAGCCCCTATATGTTCTGGGTCCAATAGCAGGTGGCAGGTGCTGAGCATTGAAGGAATGTATTGATCACAAAAGCAGGATAAACCAGATAAAGGAACAATCCGGTCTGACAAGTAAACCCGCCATCCAGGGGTCATTGACAGGAGAAGGAATGTGTTAACGAGTGCTGCTGTGATTTTATATGAGAGAATGAATGGCAATGCAACACACCAGAGCACCTAGTGTGCCGCACCATGCACTGTGTGATAGTCAGGGCCAGATTTCCTACAAGGCCAACCAAGGCCTGGCCTCGGGGCAGCAGGGAGTAGAGGGGTAGCAGGGGTGTGGAATTCCTATCTCCTGATGCCCGGGCGGGTAGTTTTTTTCTACATTTAGTCCTGCTTTGGGCAAGCAGAGCTAAATGTACAGCAGAGAAGCCACCACTTGTTTTGTTCAAGTGATCTCAGTGTCGCAGAGATCACTTGTATGCAGACTGCAGGTCTGCCATTCTCCATGGGGAGGGGGGGGAGTTTTGGTGGGTAGGGGGGCCCATTGAGGAACTTGGCCTTGAGACAGCAGAGAGAGTAAATCCGGCCCTGGTGATAGCACGTACTAAACCCACAGATCCCGCGCCTTTAACGCAGCGCTGTGGTGTAAACGTTTCCTCAAGATGACCATACACACTAAGATTTTTCTTAGTCCCACGGGGCTGAACAAGGGAACCCTTGAATTCCCCCATCAATATGGAAAAATTTTCCCCCGCTGGGCTATTATATTCTGACAGAGAGTGCCCGCCGCTGCCAGAATACCTAAACAGCGACTGCAGCTGACTGTTAGGCTGACAATTGACCACCCGTCTCCTTACCAGCGCTCCCCACTCCCTCCCAGCGCCACCTGACTCCACAGAAGTCAATCTTTCAATTGACGTTTGTTGAGCAGGACGGTGCCGGCAGGGTAAAATTTTGGCCAAGTCAGCAGGAAACAGCTGAAATTCGATTCATGTATGGCCAGCTTTGGAGAAGTTATTGCTCAACTGCAGCCTGTGTGAATCACATGACCGCCGAAGAGAATTACAAATATTTCTGCGATTAAACTGACCAATGAGATTGCCTGATTGACCAGAGACTACTCTATTGCTGGATGGGGAAAGGCAGTTGGTAGCCTTAAAGTCCAGGAGAGTGAAACTAAATCAGAGAGTGACACAAAGGAGGGTTTTCTGGCAAGCCTAGGTAATAACAGGCACCTATTGATGCCTGCTCTTAGACAAGACCTTTAGGTCTAAATGAAATCTTGCCTAGGAGAAATAAGGAAGCTGCGACTACCGAATTCTCATTGTGCAAATGCTAGTTGCCTTGTTGTCATAATCACCCTCTTCCGTCAATATTTTAGGGTCTGCTTATAAATTATCCTCAAGGGCCCTTCAACCTGCAAATGACGGTCAGTGACTAAAAACAAGAGCATCCCTAGACGTCTTACTGCCTGAGGCCGGGGAGCGGAGGTGGGGTGCACATGATGCACACACATTCTGGGGGGAGGGGTTGGGGGGATTGTTAATCTGTGCACATATGGAGGCGGGTGCCTGGCGCCAAGCCCAGCTCACTAACATCACTGGTTACCAGGAGCTGGGCAGGACACCAGCCCGAGCATCCCACTCAGCTCCTGGCAACCAGTGATGTCAAAGGGCTGGGTGGGATGCAGTACACCATGAATGAACCGTCCCGTTCTGGTTTTTCTCCATTACAGCAGAGAGATAAGTAGTGTGGACAATCACCAGGGAAAAAATAAAGAATAAAAAAGAACAATACAATAAAACTAATGCAACCACCACATCTAAGGACTGCTAAGCTGCATTATATGACATTTTAGTTTTTGCAGTTATATACACTTCAAGCTATAAGAAAACATCTGCAGTTAGATATCTGATCGGGTGTTAAAAATTGTGATCTAATCAAACTAAGGTCCATTGAACAATGCAGAGC